CGGCCTAGGCCTGAGCCAGCCCAGCAACAGCCAGGATTGGTTTGGAAAAGAGGGGCGGAGTTAGCCAGATGGAGGGAAAGAGAACAGCCTAGTTTTGACAGTTCAGTTTTTAGTTTAGAAGAGAGCAGTTCTGAGTAGAGTAGAGAGCAGTTCAGTTCTGAGAGAGATTAGAGTAGGATTTGGATGTATTAGGAGTTCGTTATTAGAATAGGCAGTTTGCCTGGAGTTTGCACAGTGAAATAGGCTGTGGCAAACTGGTTACAGCTATTTTAGGGAAAAAATAGCTGGGTTTTGTGATTAAGAAATTGTAACAAAGGAAAGAACCATTCTCTCAAGTAACCATTACGCTTCTAAGAAACAAGAACACTTTTATTTGTAACCGCTAAGCCTCTGAACCTGCATTCACTTATAATTCTGTAATCAATAAACTCTTTCTTGTTATTTTTAAAACTTAAGCCTGAGTCAAGTGCCATTTTTGGTTGGAGTCCTTTTCTTCGTTGAATCAACCTCTCCTGTTTTCCCCTCAAAAGAAAGCCCTTGATAATACACAGTATTTTGGTGGAGTAAAAAACCTTTTATTATTTTAAACAGCATTTTAACATTTTAAATAGCTAGAGGGTTCGTGTTTCTTTAGTTTATGGTGGCAGCGAAGGTTTTACATAACGAGACATCCCCTCAAACACTATAAGAGCCAAAGTGGTGTGAATTCCTTATTGTCAGGAGGGACAGTGGTGGGATTTCTTTGACCCCCCTGCCTTGATAACCTCTCGGAGTTATTATACTCTGCTATGGCTGACTTCTCTGGTTGAAGTATTTTGCAGTGCCTTTCATGTCCCTTGATTTGTGTTTGAGCAATGCTGCGTTTGGTGGTCTCTATGTAGACTTGTCCACAGCTGCATGGTATACCGAAATACAACACCGCCTGAGCTCTGTGAGTGAGGCATTTTTTTCCGAATGAAGCAGAGAGTGTAGGGATACCAAGGTGCTTATCTATAAAGCTATTGTCCTCCCAACCTTGCTATATGCCTGTGAAACGTGGACTGTCTACAGGCATCACATGCAACTCCTGGAACAATTCCATCAGCGCTGCCTCCGGAAAATCCTGCAAATCTCTTGGGAAGACAGGCGGACAAACGTCAGCGTGCTGGAAGAAGCAAAGACCACCAGCATTGAAGCAATGGTCCTCCGCCATCAACTCCGCTGGACCAGCCACGTTGTCCGGATGCCCGACCACTGTCTCCCAAACCAGTTGCTCTACTCCGAACTCAAGAATGGAAAACTGAATGTTGGTGGACAGGAAAAGAGATTTAAAGTTGGGCTCAAAGCCAACCTTAAAAACTCTGCATAGACATTGAGAACTGGGAAGCCCTGGCCCTTGAGCGCTCAAGCTGGAGGTCAGCTGTGACCAGCAGAGGTGCAGAATTTGAAGAGGCACGAATGGAGGGCGAAAGGGAGAAACGTGCTAAGAGGAAGGCGTGTCAAGCCAACCCCGACCGAGACCACCTCCCACCTGGAAACCAATGCCCTCACTGTGGGAGTAGATGCAGGTCATGAATAGGGCTCCACAGTCACCTACGTATCCACTTGCAAGACACATCACTTGGAGGACCATCATCCTCGGACTACGAGGGATCGCCTAAGTAAGTAAGTAAGTAAGCATGGTGTACGGTAAACATCAGGAGAGAATGCTTCTAGAACATGGCCATACAGCCTGAAAAACCTACAACAACCCAGTGATTCCGGCCATGAAAGCCTTCGACAATACCCCCAAAAATGGTTAAGTGGCTGAGGGGGGAAAGAAAGAGGCCTGAGTCTATTAGGAATTGTGGGAATTGAAGTCCAAAACACCTGGAGGGCCAAAGTTCGCCCATGCCTGGTCTAGAACATATTTTTCTGTGGTAAAAAAATCCCAGCTCTTCTTGAAGCCAGAGAGCATGCTATCTAGCAACCTGACCATTGCGTTCAGGAAACAAAATGAAACAAAATGCTATCCTCCACTTGGAAAAAAATCAATCTCTCTGGGAAATGTTAGCTGGAGCAATATTGCTCTTTTTATCCTTGACATCTTCTTGCTTTAGAAACATCTCAGCATTTCCAACACACAGCCTGTATGACTAGACCAGCTGGGAAAAAAATCATTTGACTGAGCGAAACCCTGGAACACAACGCAAGTTCAGAGATGAATTTTCCAAGCCAGACAACCCAACACTGTATAGGAAGGAAAGCGTTTACATTTCTTGGATTTAAATTGCATTTTTTGAAAATGTAATCAAAATTCAATTTAAAAAAGGAAGGAAAGCATTATCTCAGTTCATCCTTCAGCCAAGGGAATGAAATTTGTAAATATCTCCCAGCGCTGCTGTTTCTCTTTCCAACTTTCCTTTTGTGTCTTTATTTACTGTATTATTTATATACCGCTTTTCGCAACCCCTGAGGAGACTCAAAGTGGTTTGCAACAAATAATGGCAAAATTCAATGCCTAGCATACATAAAACCAAATCATAAATCTGAACAATATATAACTAAAGCATAAATTCAATCAGACAATTGACTCTAGGATAAGAGGACATTTAAACATGACAACATAAAAATTAAAAACACCTCATGTAAACATTAAAATCACATGATCCAAACGCGTAGACCAGGCCATTCCAAATGTCAATTGCACATATTCCATATTTACTTCTTGTACTGGTAACTTTACTAGTCAAAAGCTTGGTTGCATAACCATGTCTTTGTTCTCCTTCTAAAGGCCAGAAGGAAGGGGGCTGATCTAATCTCAAGGGGAGAGACTTGAGA